TTCAAAACACATCAAGTTACATATTTTATTCATTTTATTTTTCCTGTGTCAATAAATTAATGGCAAAAAGGCCTCAAGAAAAATTTATTCATGGAGGTTTAAGGAGGATAAAGTCATTGTGTTTGTGAGGTATCTAATGCATTGTTTCCAAGGGACTTCAGACAGGGACTTGAAAAAAAAATCAGGCATAGGGAGGTATTCAGTTTATGGAGGTAAAAGTTATTGAGATTTACTTGTAGATTAATGGATTGGCACATCTCCATACTCTGGCTAATTTTGAATATTCTATTTCTGAATTCACCTGTCAATTGGGGGCATTTTTTTGGATTTTCTTTGCAGTTGAGAGCATCTGAATGAAAGTGATAGTCTCTTTTAAAGTATAGAAGTGTGACTTCAACCAATCTTGTAATTGTATGCCCTCATTAAAAGGTTCATGCAAAACTTGAAGGAACAGCTCCACTATTTTATTTTATTTTTTTACTTAAACGCTAATATGTGCAAGAATCTATTTATCTACTGTATTTTCTTTACTATTGAGAAATATTAAAATGCGGTGTATAAAACCAGTTAATTTTATCCTCAAATTATTTCTTGTGGCTTTTTCTCTTATGAAGCAGACAAAGTTTCAGCTTTGCATTCAAAGCAAGTGTTTTTTTACTATCAAGAAAGATGAAAATTGCTCTGCCATAGTTCCGTGTCATTATTGAGCTTTAAAAAAAATTAATTGAGCTTTTCTTCCAATTTTTTTTCTTCCAATTAATTTTAGAGGACTGTTTCTTTTTTTTTGTAATGCTTCAAATTCACCTGAGAAGATCATCTGAAAATTGCCTTACCCAACATTCATGATATTTCATCCTATTTTTTCAGCTGTTGCGAGTTTATGCGACGTTGATCCTCTTCCCGGCAAGACTCGAAAGATGTCGCTGCTTCGAAAACCGATTACAGCTTCCGTGAAAGGTATGAACTTTGTTTTGCCGAAGATGCGTTTGTCTGCTTGAATCATCTGTAATATTACTTCTGAAATGCGTGAAGTTTTGCCCATAAAAACATTTTTTTTTGTTTTACTGGAATTTCTCCGAGAAAAGAATAGAAGCTTAAAAGCGGAGAATATGAATGAATGAATGAATAATTGTTGCTAAGTTTATGGACAGTTTCCGAGACACGATTTATCCATTGTAACTTTCCAATACGCGTTCCGTGAGAAATTCTGCGTACAGTTTTTTTTCCTTCGAATTGGATCCAATCCCGAATTGCCATTCCAACTGCGACGCTTGTTTTTTCTGGGTAACAAAATTTTAGCGAGAAATAATATATAATATAATATAAAATATAAAATATATTAATAATAAATATAATATATAATAATAATAACAGTAATAATATGTATAATATATTATATAATATGTATAATATTTTAATTTCGTTTTTCAATTCACAGAAACGTGCCCTGCCAGTACTTCTAGCTTTCCCGCGACTGCTGCTGCTACAAGTGCTGCTGCTTCATCCGGAGGTCATTTTTTTTTTTTTCATAAGAAACGGAGAAAAACTTGAGTTTCAGGTGCTTGAAGAAGATCATTAGTCCCTCTGCTTTTTTTACCAGAAAATAAATGAAAAGTAAATGAATGTTTTCAATGGTGGAATAAATCGAACTAAGCTTTGCATTTCGAACTTGTTGACTTGCGAATTCCTTTGTTATTAAATCATGCGATCGAAGCAAAATTCATCTTGAAGTTGAAAAAGTAGAGTCGTCCGACAAATTGAAATTACTGTCCTCATAAAGTGAGTCCTCGGGTAACAAAAGACCTGCGCGATGAAAAATCCGCATAGTGAAAGTTTTCGAGGTTAATAAAGTGACTCGCGGAACAAAAATGTTTCGCATGACCAAGTTTTTAGCCACCAAAAAAAAAGCGCACAAATTTTAGAAATTTTGGGGCTGAAACTTTGAAATTAAAAATGAAGATAAATAGGTAAAAGATAAAATGGCGTAATTTTGTCTCTTTTTATGTATTAGCGAAATTCAGGAAGAACGAACCGCAAAATTGCCAGGATTATTGAAATTTTAAAATACCTTACTCAAATTTATAATTGTATGGTGAAACTACAAAAAGCCTCAGTCAGGAACGAATTGAATTGTTCAAGATTTTAGCTTGAAGGAAATTGCGTTTCGCAGAACGAAACTCATTCAGTATTTTCATTTGTTCTCTGTCCAGCAAGTTGACAGACGTGAAAAGTAATTTTATTGTGATTAAAAAAATCACTGCTGGAAATATAGGCTTCTCCTTTTTCAAAAACACGCGGAATCGTAGGAAATTAAAGGTACTGTATCTCGTGAAATTTTATTTTTCCTGTAAAATGAAAAAGTTTTTAATTTTTTAGGCTCTTCAAATATAAGAAGGGTTTCTGGTTTTATTGTCATTTTATTTTTTTTCTTCAGGTGACGGTGACGAGTCGGACGACGATCAAGAATTGCTGGCAATTGCGAATCCAGTGGAGGATTTCCGAACGCGTGCCCTGCGCCGCTTCGCCGCCGAGAACGGCGTCCCTTTGCCGGCTGCAGCAGCGGCGGCGCCAGTCCCTGCTTCTGCTGCTGCTGCGGGCCAGCAGCGATCATCTGGCAGCCTCGCAAACGACCAGCACTTGCAGAAGCTGTTGGAGAACTACTCGTGCTCCATTTGCATTTGCCCGCTCCATGACCCAGTGACGTCCACGTCTTGCATGCACTCGTTTTGCGGCGCCTGTTTGTCCCGCTGGGTCTTTGCCGAGGGATCCACGACCATCAACAGGCCGTGTCCCCAGTGTCGCGTCCCCATGGACGTCGTCATGCGGAATCCCATGATCAAGACGACGCTGGAGGATCTGTTCAACATGATGCCGGACTGGCGGCGACCGGCGGCGGAGGTGGCGGAATTTGATCGCGAGAATCTGTTTCAGCCGCCGGCGCAGAGCTTCAAGCTGTCTGACATGCGGCGGTTGGCACGAGGCGGCGGCGGCGGCGGCGGTGGACGAGCAGCAGGGAGAGGGACGCCGCGAGGACGAGGAAGAGCTGCGAGGGCGGCGAGGGGTGGTGCACGTGGACGAGGCGCCGCTCATCAGCAGCAGCTGCTGCAACAACAACAACAACAACAGCATCAGCAGTTTTTGTCTTTTGGAGGCGACGCAATGGCTGGAAATACTGGGACTGTTGGTGGCTTGCTCAGTATATTTTCTTCTCTTTTCTAGCGCCATTTTTTTTTGTCTGAAAGAAAGAAATGTACAAATGATTTTGCTTATTCTCTATACACCTGTTTCCTCCTCTTCTTTTTTAATTCATTTATTTTTTTGAAGGATTTTTTTCAAAACCAGGTGAAATACAGTTCTTTAACTAAAGGATAAACTTGGAGGGTCATCTCGTAACAAATGAAGATACAGACAACCCTTGATTTATTGCCGCCATTGCATAGTGCCACAAATTTCTGTGGAACAAATCTCCCTGATTGTGAGCTTGAGGGAAACCCCAATTTAGTCCCAACTTACTTGGTGCCCCAAAAAATTTCCTGTCCTGAATGGAAAATGGGCAACATTTGGAGAAATTGATACATTTTTTTTAGGTACAGTTGAACCTCTCTAAGTCAAACTTCAAGGGACCAGGAAAAAATTCAACTTAGGGAGGTTTTGAATTGAGCTACAGCACAAAGCCCTTTTGTCCTGGGAAACATAGAAAAATTGCTGAAAATTGGAAATTGTGATACAGTATTCTGAGGTTTGAATTGCTTCTTAACCCTTGGGTGGCAAAGTTGGACTATTTTTGAAAAATTTTGCTGCACCTCAGAGGAGAAAAGAAAAAAATGATAACAGGGAGTTGAGGACAAAGTTGGGAAAAATCCCAATGTTTTTTTTTTTTTTTTCTTGGAAAAAGTTTGCAGGAAAATAAAAAAATTTGTATGTTATGCAACAGGCTTTTTGCAGATCAATCCTGACTTTGCCTCAGCCCACCTGGAAGGGCTTTTCTGACCTTCAGAAAACTTAAAAAGCCCCAGCAGATAAAAATAATCCAACTTTGGCTGGCAATGGGAAAGAACCCTCTGCTGTCCAAGGGTTAAATGAGTTGAAAGGATGATGAACTTGGAGGCAGGGGTTCATTTGCCAAATTAAGTCTCTCATCTCCTTCTAAAACAAATCAATTTTTCAATGCTTTTTTCTTTCTTGTGTCAAGAAAGTAAAAGTTGACAGGCCACTGAAAATTTGACTTCTGGAGGTTTGAGGGGAAAAGCCTTTGACTTAGGGAAGTTTTTAATTCATTAATTCTAAGGGGATTCAGACAGGACCTGAAAAAAATTTGACTTATGGAGGTTAGAGTTGAGGAACCTCCATCAAGGTTTAACTGTATTTTCCAAGGTTATTATTGAGCATTGAAAATTGTGCATCTGAATCTACATGTACAATAATTGGGTGATTTTATTTGAATGTCATATGCAGCAAAAAGCATATCAATAACTGGTATAGTCTCTCTGAAGAGAATATCACTTCACATGACCTTAGAATTGTATTGTGCAGGCAAACCTCCCTAAGTAAAAAATTTTTCAGGTCCGGTCTGAATCCCTTTAGAATTGATATGTTTAAAACCTCCCTAAGTCAAAAGCTTTTTCCCTTCAAACCTCCATAAGTCAAATTTTCTGTGGCCCGTTGGCTTTTATTTTCTTGACACAAGCAAGAAAAAAGCAATAAAAACAGAAATTGATTTGTTTTAAAAGGAGGTGAGAGACTTAATTGGGCAAATCAACTCGGCCTCCAAGTTCATGATCCTTTAAACTCATTTAAGAAGTTATTTCAGCCTTCAAATATTACAATTTTGTGCAATTTTTCCATGTTTCCCAGGACAAAAGGGCTTTTTGTTGTAGCTAATTCGTAACCTCCCGAAGTCAATTTTTTTTTGCTGGTCCCTTCAAGTTTGACTCAGAGAGGTTCAACTTTACTTTCATCAAAAGTTTGATACAAAAACTGACAAGATGAGTTGTGTGGAGCCGGTTTTATTTTCGTGATGGCCTGTTCAACAGACGGGAAACTTTGGGTATGAACGGTCATGAGGTACCGTTTGAACTTGGCGTGGGCAAAAGGTTTTTACTGGTCGGGGTAGCCCGTGTTTGACGCATTCCAGTGACATCACTTGCCTGCGAGTGATTTTTGCCCATCCCTCCATTCATTTTAGTCCATATTCGGGGAACAGCTAGGAAAATGCTCGGAAGGAGAGTACTATGTATGTACTGATGGCTGTTCGAGTGTAATCGCGTGTCCTTGCTCATCGGTACAACTTCGTGATTCCTCCTCTCGAGAGGTGGCTTCATTTTCGCGAAACATCCCGGGATACCCAAGGAGCGGTGTCTGGAATAACGTCGTCAGCCTGGAATAATCTGGTCGAGAATCAAACTCGTCGCGGAATATCGTCCTCAGGAATAACCTTGTCTTTGTGTATTATACACAAGATGTTTGGACTAGGGGAATTTTTTGCCGTACGAGGTTGGTCCAGTTTTGAAGTGCGGGAAGATTTNCTTTCACGAGTTCGTTCCAGGATAGGCTTTGTCAACAGTAATCCCGTGTTGGATTGACAACCACCATTCCACAAGGAGCACAGTCGAGCATTTGGATCTTTGGTGCTTTGATGAACACACGGGAAATTCTCGGCAGTCATATGTTATTTGGAAGTGTGTCTTCACGGTTTTAAACCCGATTCTGGAAAAATATATACTTTCAGTGAGCGTGATTTATTGTGATGCGTTGGAAATGGAACGTTATTTCAAGAGCTCTGTTTGACGATACAGTGTTTTGTTTATTTTCCCCGTGTGTTGCTTGAAATTAATCCTCACCTTCGTGTTGCTTGTTCTCCAGAAATCCGTGTCGCGAAGAGACCAATAATCTCGAGCCTATTGCTTAAGATTATGGTCTTCTTGTTAATTTTATTTTGTGGACGACGTGAAGGATGTGTGTGGTTAAATATTCTCGAGAAGATCGTAGGTTATCAGATACTCGCCTGTATATAACTTTTGGATTCTTTGTCCTGCGTTTGACGTCCGATAAAAAAAACATCCCGAAAAATGTGGGAGGCTGAATGTTGAGGTGGACAAATCTCTTGTTGGTTTGTAACACTGACAAATTTATTTTCTTCAAGCGGTTTTAATTTTTCTCACTTGATTATGAAGCTCAAATTGGTCTAGTTGAACTTTGATGACTTATTGAACCTTTGGAAGTTGAGTACCTTTGGTTCATTTTAGATTTAGCTTTTCAATAAGTCCCTGCTTGAATCTCTTGAGGAACGAACGATCCATCATAAACCTCCCTAACTTTAATTTTTGAGAGGCCATTTGGCTATCATTTCATTGACATATATGATGAAAGAGAATAGCAATGAAGATTTGAAGTTTGGAAAGAAAGTGCTGGAAGACTCAATTAATGGGCAATTGAACTCTTGAACTTCTGTATATATTTGGGCAGAATTTATATATGCAAACGTGATGTTCAACTTGTGTCTGTATGTTTCAAGTGTTTGTTGCACTCTCTGGTTATCATTTTTTCTACATCTGTTTGTATTTACAGATGAACCTCAATAAGTCAAACCTCCCTAAGTAGAATTTTTTTTCGAGTCCCTGTCTGATTTGCCTTGGAATCAATACCTTAAAAACCTCCCTAAGCTCAGTCTTTTTCTCTAAAACCTCTGTAAGTCAAATTTTCTGAGGCTCTCTGGTTATTATATTTCCTTGGAATATGAAAGAGAAAATGATTGAAACGAATAATTTGATGCATTTTGAAAGGAAGTGTAGGACAATAATATAGCAAATGAACCCCTGCCTCCAAGTCCAGCAAGGTGCATGTGAACTCATTAAGGAGCAAGTTTTAGTCCAGAATATCCTCAATTATGATTTCCTACACTTCTTTTTACTTCTCCTCAACTGAAAAGCTCCAAAAATCAAAACCTCCCTAAGTCAAATTTTCTTCCTGCTCCCTAGAAATTTGACTTACAGATGAGGTTCAACTGTATAGTTGCATGTTTCAGTAAAACCATCTGGAACTTGTGTGATGCAAACTTACAAGTCAACATCACATGTGCTTTGTGCGTTTGATATGTTAATCATTGATACTCTTTGTTTTTTTTTTGACAGATGGAAGTACAAGGGCATTATATCCCAAGTGAGCCAGAAGTTACTGCTATTGTGGGAACAATCAATTTGCAACAAAGAGTGACTGTGACTTCTCAGAATACTCAAAGAAAGCGAAGAAACCTAGCTATTGAGCAAGTGCACAAGTGGAAGAACAAACCGGATTCTTTCACTCTTCGAGTTTGTTCACAACTCAGAGATAACCTTTGGGTTAGTGGAATACGGGATCATGCTTCCTTCTTTTTGCAAGTTGGCCTAGTTGATAGGACAAATCACAGAGCACGAGTATGCCTTGAACCCCTTTTTCAGCAGCAGGAAGATTTTCAAAATGAAGTAGTGGTCCATCAGGATCACATTGGACTTCCCAAAAATGGCCAAAATGGAGATTTTCTCCCTACCAGCTCTGTATCCAGAGCATATGGTTGCCCCTCACTGGGTTTCAAGGATAAGTCATCAAACCACTTGGTGCAGCATAATGCACCTGCTGGAAAATCATCAAAGATGGCCACATCTAACCCAGGAGGTGCTGATGGTTTAATGAACCATCTCAACAAGAGTTTTGCATTATTTCAAGCAGAACTGTCTCCTGAAATCAACAAATGTGACAGAGGTTTGTTTAGTTTTCTCAAAAAATGGGTGTACTATAGTTCATATATTTTTACAAAATTAATAAACACATGTCCTTAATATTGCAGGAATTCTACTTCAAACAGTGAGAAGCATGCACAGGAAAGGCCAAGAATTGTTCAACCTGGCATTGGGATTAGCTGCTGCAGAAAGTAACGCAAAAGGTTTGACAAAGAATTGAAAAATATTTTATGCATGCTTGTAATGATTTCTTGTTCCTCTACAGAAACACTCCTGAGGACAAGATGGATCCAAAAGATGTTGGAGGACCACCTGGGCCTGACACCACCAGCACCATCACCACCTGTCAACCCTCTGCATCAAGCTTTGGGAGCAGATTTCAAATTACCAATGCAAAATTGGGATGGTGTGCAGTGGCTAAATGATGTTCTGGGAAGCAGTATCTATGGACCTGACAAGAACAATCTATTTCATGATACGGTATGACAATTATTTAAATAATTTCATGGATGGTAATGTTTTTAGATCTTACCTCTTAAAGTTACTTAAGTACATGTGTTGGTTTGCACCTCTCCTACTTTTCATGTAGGGCCCACTTGCAAACTCCCTCCCAGAGAGGCCTTCAGGAGGGTTCTGTTTCCCATTCTGTGGACTTCAAAAATTCAATAAAAGAATTCTTGACCAAACTTCAAATTTTTGAGATCTTAGCAGGTGCAATTCAATTTCCAGCATTTCCTTTCATCAAACATTTTGAAATAATAGAAAATTGACAGAGATACAATGAAAAACACAAAATGTTTTTTTATTCGTATACAAGACTTGCTAGAAAATAATTTTCCTTTTTCAATTTTAATTGATGAAGTTTCCAACCTATCTCAGTTTTAAAACTATCTAAATTCTTAAAACATCTATGTCCACACAGCCATGTAAAATCATCTTAATTGAGCAAGTATTAAATAAATTAGAATGAACAAAATTACTAAGGTGAAAAATTTGAGACTTCTTGAAAATTACCATTTCCTGTTTCTCTGAGTGCACAAATGCATTTAAGATCATCTAATGATGCAAACCAAAACTTGTTGAATTCACTGCATGCACCATGAAGTTTCCTACATTTTAGTTTTTGAAGTTTGAAAAATCTTGAAATTACGAAGTTATGCTCAAAAATATCAAAAGTTTTTAAAAATTGGGGAAAATGTTCTTGAATGTTGAACATAATCAATGGAATTGTCAAAGTATGTTAATCAAAAATATTTCAAGTTATAGAGCAACAGTGAGCATATGTATCCCTGAAAGAAATTTTTAAATTGTGTGAACCAAAAAAAAGTTAGGGTAAGCTGAAGTTGAAAGCGTGAAATTTTCGTTTCCAGTGTTCTCAAGTTTCAAATTTATTAAAATTTATCTAATGCACTAAAATCTGAAATTGTTCAAATGATGCCAGGTGTGGCTGGGCAACCCCAGATTGCATACTAATGAAAACTATTGCTCTTTCAGGTGTCCTACTATGTCCGGATTTGTGAGAAATCTTGCGGAAATCTTGATTTAATCGAGTACAGAAGGACTGAGGTTGCAAAATACAAATTGGAGACTTTCACACAAAAAATGGGAGACAAACATGTGGTTGTGGTTGTTGCAGATTTAATATTCACCCCAGAGTATGTATATATACTTCCTAGTTCATAATTACACATTTCCTAATTTGTTTTTGTTCATCCATTCAGGTGCAGACTTCAATTTTTACTGGAAAACAGAAGTAAACGCCTCTTGGAGAATGGGGAACATGACCTCAGGGCTGAAGCAGGACATGTTTACAATTTACTGGGTTGTGCGTAATTATTTCAATATACCAGAATATGTACGTTTAAAATGAAAGCAATCTTATATCTGCAGGTGTGGCGAAGAAATTTGTTGAATGCACTCAGCTACGCAACCGGGAACCACATAATGTTGACGCATACCACAAAAAATGGGGCAAGTTCTTCAGTGCTGTGCACAGGCATGAGAAATGCCTCATGAAAAACCATGTCTCAATTTGAAGGATGAGGCTGAAGAGGATGCTGACAAATACACACATGATAAACAAACCCTATCATTTCCTTGGGAATAATATTTCCACCCACCAACAACAAATGCGGTTACAGAATGTTCTGGTGGACCAT